GAAGCGGCTGAGCAGCGGGGTCTGCACAGCGGCCCGGGCCAGCGCCGGGGACGGCGCCACCTGGACGCTCTGCTCTGGGTCGTCGCTCATGCTGCAGGCGAGGGTTGCACAGGGTGAGGCTTGGTGCCTGGCCAGGAGATTGGCTCCCCGAGAGCAGGCATTGGTGCCCAGAGTGTGGCGCTCACCGCAGGTTGAAGGTGGAGCCCAGGAAGGAAGGTCTCAGCGAGTCGGCCGCCGTGGCCACAGTGTAGGGCGGCTGCGGCTGGGCCTCGTCCCAGTATGGATCCTTCTCGGTGGGGGGCAGATTCTGATACATGTCGTCCACGGCCAGCAGGGACACCTGGGCCAGCGGGAGGGGAGGCACAGGTCCCAAAGCCCTTCATCTCCACACCCAAGCCTAGCGCTGGCAGGAGCTGTGCTCACACCTCCAAGCCCGCTTCACCTGCAGGTTTCTGTCTATGAGCTGATTGGTCTCAAAGTCGTCGTCATCCTCTCCAAAGGGGTTGATGATCTGTTCAGCCACCTGCAGAGTGCAGACAGTTTCACCATCCCCAGTGTTGGGGAGGACTCTGTGCCCAGGTTTTGACAGAGCAGGCTGTGTGGTCCTATGCCCACCTTGAGCCAGCCAGCATAGAAGAAGAACTGCAGCAGTGTCGTGAGAGGCACGTACATGTCCGGGTCTCCCGGGGCCAGCGCTGGCTCCAGGGGCCCCTGGGCTTTGGCAGCCCCTGCCTCTGGCTCCACAAACTGGCGGCCCACCAGGGAGAGGGCAAAGAATGAGTACACGGCTATAGTCACCACCTGGAGAAGGGAAAGCCAGGCTCCGTGTGGAGCAGTGGACTGAGAAAGGCCATCCTGCCTCTGAGGCCTTGGGGGGAGTCTGACAAGTAATTAAATATCACAGGGTGGCAGTGCCACGGGGATAGGGTCACAGGGTGGGGGCTTTGAGAGAATGAGCCCTCTGCTATTCACGGGACTGAAGTGACACCGGGTGAGGGCCATTTAATTCTCAGGACCTCACACAGCACAGGACTCGGGAGGCACTGGGAAGGGAGGAAAGAGGCGTACTTGGGTGTAGACGAGGGGGACACTGATCCAGTCATAGTGGAACAGCATGCTGCACTTGGCGCGGTATTTGTTCAGCTCCTGTGGAAATAGCAGAAAGGAGATCGGCAGAGGTGTGCAGGGAGGGCTAGGAAGAGCACAGGGGATTGTCACTGAGCAGGCCCAGGCCTCTGCCGCTCGGCCTTAGGCTGGGGCACCTCTGATGGGGAGCAATTTAGCAAAGTTGCCGCAAGCAGAGCCTGAAGCCAGACATCTGAGTGTGAATCCCAGCTGCCCTAAATAGCAGTGTCACTTGAGCTTTTCTACTTTATGCCTTAGTTTCTCCATCTGTGGAAAGGGGATCATAATCATCGTGCCTGTCTCGAGTGTTCCAAGGGCTAAATGAGCAGCTCTGTTGTACGTGCCTGTATGTTCATAGCACATAGGCTGAATCGAAGTGTTAGATTCCAGAACTACTTGTTCACAAAGCTGGAGGGCCAAGGGGCCTGGTCCGAGGCTGACTCACTTCTAGGAGGAGGCAGAGAGTGATGTCATCACGGATGCGTCCATCCTTGCGGGCCTGGGCAGCCAGGTTAGTGAACCAGACGCAGGGGACCCAGTACTTGTTAAAGTCGGATTTCAAACTCTCAAACTTTTTCCTCTCTTCCTGGGACATGAAACCTGCACGGGGGAAGTCGGTAGGGTCAGACGCACCCTCTGCCTCCAGGGGAAGCTGCGGGTCCACCACAGGGCTGCCCCCCTCGCATCCACAGCAGTCCCAGGATTTGCCGTCGTGGGTCCCGGAGACACCGCAGCTTCCCAAGATGCCCGCGCACCTGCGTCCACCACGTGCTGCACTGAGGGGAAGCGTTTGAGCACGCGGGTGCTCACCGAGCGCAGCACCAGCACCGACGCCAGGTTGGCGTAGCGCATGAGCGTGCGGCGCAGCAAGCGGCCGCTGTGGTCCACGCCGTGCACGCTGGCTGAGATGATGCACATCAGCTGGTCTGGCAGCGGGATGCTTGTGTACTGGGACCACCAGCGGTTCACCACCAGAGTCACATAGAAACCTAGTGGGTCACCGTGGGAGGGGGCAGGAAGGGAGGGCAGAGGGGCTGGGACTCAGGAGGCCTCACACTTCCCTCCCGCCAAGTGGGCCCAGTGCAGGCCCGGAGCCGAGGAGTGGGGACTGGGGGACACCGCCACACAGCACATTGGGCTCCAGCTCCTCGCCTCTTCCTCCACTGCCCTTGTGGGGCAGGTGAGGCCAGGAGGAAGGAAGAGCGCCGACTTCCTGGGATGTGGGAGTGCGAGGCCGGGTAATGGTTAACTCAAGGTCTGGCTCCCCCGAGCATTTGGAGGGGCTGTCACCACTCTGGCTTCTCACCAGAGTGTGGTAGTGAAGCCAGCAGGTGTCTTGGCCTTGCCAAGTGAGAGCCCACAAGTCATAGGCAGGACCTAGGCCCGGGGAAGCCTTGGACCCATTGCCCAGCTCCTGTACCTTTGCTGGTTGATTCTGGGCTCTGCTGCCTGAGCTGTGACCTCAACCCACGGTCCAGGAAGAACTAGAAGGGGCCTCACCCAATACGAAGGACAAAGGGATGAGATCCGCAGAGCGGTTGCAGTATCGGGCCACCTGCGCGTACACGTGCCTCTGCTCCTGGGTCAGCAGCAGCCTGGGGAAAGGGCAGTGAAGGCTGCTTGCAGGGAGATGGACAACATAGGCCCCGCAGACCAACCCTGAGAGCAGTCTCACCGATAGGTGATGCTGAGGGAGGCGTAGAGGGCGACAAACAACAGAAACTCCTTGTACAGGAGCTTGTAGATGCTTCCCCTCCACCGGAGCAGCAGCCCAGAGAAGCCTCCAAAGCGCGCCTCGGCCACTTTGAGAGTGTATGAAACCGTCATGGTGCTGAGGCCTGGGGTGGGAGGTCACAGGTGTCCCTCTCCTTAGCTTGCCTTCCCAACACTAAGCTTAGTTCCAAACCAACCTCCCTCCGCCTCTGGTCACACTCTCAGCCTTCACCCTGTCAGGAGACAAGGGCCCAGGATCGCCCAAGGTCATCAGCTCCACCCGCCGCAGGACTCCAGTACGTGCATAAAGCCGAGATGGAGTCGGGCACAGCAGGGCTGAGCCCAGGGCCCTCATGCACAAGGCTTTCCCAAGCCCTTCTTCCACCTGCAGGCCTGGGGAAAACAGATCCTGATCTGCCGAGGACAAGAGCCCCAACTCCAGCCTGGTGCCAACACTTGTCCTTGGCTTTGCTCTGGAAGCTGATTATCTGGTCTCCCAAGTCCATGGCCTTGTCACACCTCCCCCACCCCATACCTGCCTACCTGCTCTGAGCAGCAGCCTGCACTGAGGAAGAGCTGGGCCTGCCTGCACTCTCCCCAGACTTAAGTACCTGCAGAGTCCATAAAGTTGGCTGGACTGAGGCTGTCTTTGATGGATGAGGCTGTCACCCAGCTTCCCCTGGTCCTGAGAACTGGGTGTGTCTCCCTACCCCTGCAGGGCTGGGCTGGCTTTTGAGTGGCAGAACTGCCATCCTCACTGACCCCACAGCTCTCGCAGGCAACGCTGTGTCCTTCCAACCAGGATGATGGATGACCATCCCATGCTCCAGGCAAGAGGACACGTGCAAGATAAAGTTTCACTATAGTACCAGCGGCTCGTCACAGCATGAAGAAGGCAAGGCACAGTGCCAGGGTGCTAGCATGTCATTCTTTTTTTCACTTTTTTTTTTTCCTGGTACCAGGGATTAAACTCAGGACCTTGCACTTGCAAGGCGGGCACAGTGCCACTGAGCTAAATTCCTGGCTGCCACGTTGTCCTTGCATGGAATCTTCACCACAGCATCATGTGAGCAGAATCATGGCTGCCACAAAGATCAAACTCCAGAAGGTAAGTGACTTGGTCACTGTCACACAGTAGGATGTGTTGGAGACAGGAGCCAGAGCTGATGGACTTGAAGTGCTACAAGTAGCCTAAATGGCCAGGTTCTTCCCCGCCCCATGCTCCAGGGCTGACAAGGCTAAGATCTGGGAACTCAAGGCCCACAATACAGAAAACCGTGTTCAAAATCTTGACTCCTAGGGGTACTTCGGGTCTTGAGTCACTTCTTTCATTTCTCAACCTCCTTCCTTCCTCTCCATCTTTAGAACTGGAGATTGAACCACAGCTGAGCTACATTCCTAGCCCTTATTTATAGTTTATTTGGAGACAGGGCCCTGCTAAATTGCCCAGGCTGGCCTTACACTTTCTCAACCCTCCTGCCTCAGCCTCCCAAGTAGCTGTGGGCCATCACATCCAACTCTCATCTTCCATTTCTTTATCAGTCCAAACTAAAAAATAATAATACCTATGACACTGATCAAAGAAATAGAACTTTATCTTTTTCGTTTGTTTGTTTAGACAAGGTCTTGCTGTGTAGCCCAGGCTGGCCACTAAACCTCAGCAACCCTCCCACTTCAGCCTCCCAAGAACTGGGATTACAGGTGAGTGCCACCATGCCTAGTGCCCTAGCTCATTTCAAACTGTTCCTTCAAAATTCAACTCAGGAGCTGGTCCTGGTGGTGCACATCTGTAATCCCAGCACTGAGGAGGCAGAAGCAGAAAGATTACTGTGAGTCCCAGGCCAGCCTGAAATACATAGTGAGACCCTGTTTAAAAAAAAAAAAAAAAAAGCCAGGTGTGGTGGTGCAAGCCTGTAATCCCAGCACTTGGGAGGCTGAGGCAGGAGGATCGCTATGAATTTCGAGACCAGCCTGGTCTACATAGTGAGTTCCAGGTCAGTCTCAACTGCATAATGAGTCCCTGTCTCAAAGAAAGCAAAAAAGAGCCAGGGATTTAGCTCAGTGGTGCTGCTGCCTGCCTTGCAAGCACAAACAAGGTCCTGAGTTCAATCCCCAGTACCAAAAAAAAAAAAAAAAAAAAAAAAAAAATCAGTTCAGGCTGCTTCATTCTCCAATGTCAGTGCTCACTAGACTCCAGTCCAAGGAGAAGGGTGTAAGTGGGCCTCTGTACCATGGCTTATTCAAGGCAGGCTGCCTACAGATCGACTGTTGGTCAAGTCCCAGGAAGCAACCAGCTACGAAAGCCTTTCCTTAAAAAAGGCCTGTGCTGGGGAGGGTGTGAAGGAACCTCACCATTGCAGGCCTGGTCTTGAGTGTGCCATGAGACTACACTTTATCAGAAGGCCACTGGGATAGCTATAGGTACAGATGCAGAGGTTTTGTATTAGCGTAAGTTTGTGATACACAGAGAAAACATGCATGGGGAGTCAGTACATGTACAGATCGCATCTTCGTCCTTTTTAACTTCCCTTTCCTCTCTCCTTTCCCTAGATCCCCTTCCATCTGCATAAAGTCTATCTCCCTCTTTCCTATCCTCTTATCTTTTATGTTGCTCTTTTAAGTTATTTGTATTTATTTATATATGTGGAGCCATGTGATATTTAACCTTCTGTTATTCACTTCGCTTAGCATTATGCTGCCACGGTGCATCCTTTTTCTTATAAATGACTCACATCCCTCTGTGGCTGTTACTCCACTGTGCACCAGCACCACATTTTCTTTATCCGTGCACCTGTTGATGGACACATAGGCTGCTTCTGAGATTTAGCTGTTGTGAGTTGTGCTACTAAAAGCATGGATATGATGTCTTTAACTTTTGGGGGAAGATAACCCAGAGGAGGGTTAGCTGGGTTGAATGGAATTTGTAGTTTTAGCTTCTTGAAGAGTCTACACAGTGATTTCCACAGTGGTTTCACTAATATACATTCCCACCAACGATGAAGAATGATCCCTTACCTGACTTGGTGTTTCTAAGTTCACGATGACAGCCATTCTAGAGTAGCTGGAATCTCAGTATTGTTTTGATTTGCATCTCTCTAATGGCCAAAGCTGCTGAATGCTTTTTTCATGTATTTATTGGTCATTGGTATTTTTTCTCCGGTAAAGTATATATTTATTCTAATTATCCGTTTTTGATTGGGTCATTTATTTGGAGGGATCTAGTTATTTTTGAGTTCTTTAGAAATTCTAGGTATTAGTTCTCTGTCCAAGGAATAACTGGCCAAAAAATTTCCTATTCTGTAGGCTGTCTTCACTCTGTTTTTTGGTTTTTTGTTTTTTCTGTCCCAGGGATCCAACTCAGAACCTTGATCTTGTCAGGCAGGTGCAGTGCCACCGAGCTAAATCCCCGGCCCTCCACTGAATTTCTGATTTCCAAACTCCCTGTTTAGTATCTGGTGTGAGAAATTGCCCAGGACTTCAAAACAGATCTGTGCTTTCAGAATGCAGCTGTTGGTGCTTTGCAGGAGGCCAGTGAGGCCTTTATAGTTTGCGTTTCTGAAGACATTAGCCTGTGTGCTCTCTATACCAAACGTGTGGTACACACCTGTAATCCAGCACTCAGGAGGCTGAAGCAGGAGGATCACGGCAAGTTCTTATTTTATTTTATTGTTTATTTATGAGACAGGGTCTCACTATGTACTTGAAGTTGGCTTTAAACGCACTGTGCAGCCTAGGGTGGCCTTGAACCTGCAGCAATACTCCTGCCTCGGCCTCTCAAGTGTTGATGTTATAGGTGTGCACCACCACACCTGGCAAAAGTTCTTATTTTTATTTATTTATTTTTCATCACCAGGAGTTCTCACAAGGGCTACCTAGTAAGAATTTGTCTGAGGAAAAAAAGAAAAAGAAAACAGAAAAAAATGCATTCACTATGATGGAAAATCTTTTATTTTCAAAAATAAATAAATAATGTTGGGGACAGCTCAGTGGTAGAGACCCCGCTTCAGGGGGTCCTGGGTTTAGTCCTCAGTGCACACGCGTACCCAGGGTGTAGGGGAGAGGAAGGGGCAAGGAGATGATGGGGGAAGTGATCAAAGTATGTTACATATGATTCCGACAAAATGAAAGCCTGCTTGTATAAGCAATACACTAACAAAGAAATGAAAGAAAATTTTTGTTTTTCCCCTTCTCCCTGTTATCGATAGTTCTGAACTTTAGATTTTTTTTCCCATGCAGTCAAAAGTACCTAAGTGTATGATTGCAAATGAGAAAAATAGAGGACAGAAATCAGATATCAGCAATTATTTCATTTTTATTTGCATGTGAAAAAAATTTTTTTAAAAAAGGGTCTCACTTGTGTAGCCCAGGCTGGCCTGGAACTCAAGGTCCTCCGGCCTCAGGGACCCTCTCCCCCTCAGTGCTAGGATTACAAAAGTATGCCACCACTTCCCCATTCTTTTTTATTTCCAGACAGGGTCTTGTGCCTTTGGATCCTCCTTCCTCATCCTCCCAAGTAGCTGAGATTTCAGATGTGTTCACCGTCACTATGCTTGGCTGGGTTTTCTCTCTTGGAGCAGTGACTTACACTGGTCCATGTCTTTTTTTTTTTTTTTTTTTTTTTTTTTTTTTTTTTTTTTACCACGGATCAAACTCAGGACCTTGCCCTTGCCAAGCAGATGGCAGAACCGCTGAGCTAAATCCCTGGCCCTGGTCCATGTCTTCTGACAGACACACTTCTCGCTCAGCCTCAGGGACACCTGAGCACAAGACTGAGTCTGAGTCACCTCAGTAAACCCTAGGAAGACCGGAAAGCTAGCAAGCAGCCTTTCTTTCTCTCCTCCTCCCTTCCCCCTCCCTTCCTCCCACTTTCTCTCCCTCCCTCCTTCATTAGCTCTCTAGTTTAACATGAAAGACATCGGGTTTCAGCACTGCTGCCCTCCACTGGTTCTTTTAAGAAGTGTCTGTCATACAGGGTCGGAAACTCGCTCAGGGCCTGACTAGAGTTAGTCCTTCTTTAGTCCCAGGTTGAGAAGTCACCGGGAATGAAGAACCGGACTGTGTCTGTGAAAGAGCCAGGACCTGCTGGGTGCAGCTCTACACACTTGTATTCCCAG